CCCCAAAACCCCAAAACCCCAAAACCCCAAAACCCCAAAACCCCATTTGGGATTTAGAAAATTGAATTTTAGATATATAAATTGGGAAATAAGAATAATGGAGGATTTTTATGATTTTGATAGGTATTTTGAGGGTGGAGATAGGAAGGAGAAGTGAGTTAATTTGGAATTTGGGGTTGAGATTTGGGAGTTTATGGTGGCAGGATTGTTTTTTGTTTTTAGTGAGTTAAGATTGTTATGGGAAGTTGGCTGGAACTGTAATTCGGAGGAGGAGTGCATTTTTATGAGGAAAATTATAGTTTAGGGTGTATGATTAAGAGTAGCGCTAATTGATAGAAATATCATTGCCTATAATATTCTTTAAAAATTTGTTAAATTTGGTATAGACAAGAAGGCAAAATAGATAGCGTCTTAGAGAAAATCCGATCTTTTGAAAAAGCCGTTGAAAACGCTCAAGATTTGGTTGATTCAATTAAATTTAACCAGAGTAAAGAAGCAAAAACTACAGCAATTAATATAAAAAACTCAGTGTTTCCAATACAACAAGAGCTTAATGAGATAGCAGGAGGATCTGACATAAAGTTGATAGACTTAGGTGAACAGAGATTGTACAATATATCAGATAAAGCAGAGGCTGTCATCAAAACTTGTGAAGATATTTTGAACAAAAAGCCTGTCACAAGAGTTGAAAATACTTTGAATATTCCATCAAGAATGATAAAAGCTCAAAAAGGTATTTTATTTTATCCAACAACAATCATATCAGAATTTTTCGAAGATTTACCTTAATTGTTCCAACCTTATTTATTTCTGGATCTTCAAATCCTCTGCAGTTCAGTTCGACTAAGGATCAATTAATTGCTCCTCTATTGCTTTCTTGTATAATTCATTTTAAAACTCTTGCCTTTAGATCCAGAAGAAGTAAAGATAGCTCCAGTAGAAGAAATTAGTAAATATTTTAAACTTTCTTCTCTAATTCCTCATAGTTTCAATAGAGGAAGAAATATACGATCAATGTAAAAGCATTGACTACGGTATTAAAAATGTGGTGTTCAAGGCTACAATTGAGAAGGATGATGGAGATCTATCTCCAGTCAGCACCCTCTCTATCTTACTAAATGATCATAGATATGCCTCGTATCTGAAAATTTGTCTGAAAGATACTTTTCCTAAAGTAGACTTTATCTCTATTCGTGGTCAAACTCGAAAAATTAGAAGGAGACTGAAGAAGTTTATCAATGAGTCTATGCCTAACACAGTTAGAGGGATTAGTTTTAATAAGAGTGAATGGGCTCCAAGTCTAATCAAAGAGTACTTCTCAGAGATACTTAAGATGAGTCATAGAGTTACAGGACAGATATCTCTTTATAATTTTATCATATCTACCATTCAGATGAGAAAGCTGTTAGCAGTGAACAGAGATAAATAAACTTATAGGATTTGAGAGTTGCATCTTATTCCTCGAGTCCATTCCTAATTTCGGAAACTGCTTCAAAGCTACCAGCACTAAGATCCTAGTTTTTGATCAATGTGGAGCTCCAAATAGAGGTAACTGGGCAGATAATCCTCACCATTTTGATAATTTGGTTCAAGGATTAGCAAAATCAGAAGATCTAAAGGCAAGTCTGAGAGAGATACATGTCATGAACTGCGGATTACAAAGAAAAGATGTCAAACAACTATTGAGCAACCACGGATTAAAAAAAGTTAAAATATTCGGATGATTCTGATTCTAGATAGCTATTTTTATAAAATTTCAGAACCATCCCTCTCTATAAATTTTTTGCCTTTCTTTAATCTAATATTAATCTTTTCCATCATTGTCTCTCTTTCGACATTATTCCCTCAAAAGGCTCAAAAAATATTTTCAGCCCTTTATTCAAACCTTCAAAACCCAAATTTCCCACACAATCTTCAAAACCTCAACTTATCCTGTCCAAGTCCTTAACCCAATCAAAACTCATCCCTAAAATTTCACTAAAATTCATGAACAAAATCTCACTTTTCATAAATTTCAACAAAAAATCTTGAACTAGGGGTTTTGGGGTTTTGGGGTTTTGGGG